ATTCAGGGACCATCCCCAAGGTAAAATAAGACAGTGCTTCCCAAGTACCCTATGGTTCCTGGCCCTAGCCAGTGACTGAAACCTTAGCCATTATTGTTCCTTAGCAGGCAAGTAGGTAAGACATGATCTGAGTCCTCCTGGAGCTTGGAGTCCATTAGATTCCCCACTCATTAACTTTGGAGCAAGTGTAATTTAACCACTGAGTCTTGACTTCCTCATCTGTTTAATGGCTTTAATACGCCCTACATCTCAGGAGAGTTTTGAGAATTACAAGGTACAGAGCAGATGTACTAAGTGTTTGTCATTGCTTTGGTTGAGTGTATGAAGAGTGAAGGTCATGGGCTAGGTGCCGACTGAGTGGTAGGTAGAGTGGATGAGGTAGAGTGCTGTGGGCTGGGAGGAAAAGAAGAGAATCAGGCTGTGCTGGTGCACACTTATAACCTCAGCTGCTTGGGAGGTTGAGACAGGAATATTGCAAGATCAAGGCTAGCCTGGGCAACTCAGCAAGACCCTGTCTCAAAATTAAAAAAGGGCCCGGGATGTAGCTTAATGATAAAGCACTTGCATAGCATGCCCTAGTATTTGATCCCTGGTACTGCAAAAGAAAAAAAGAAGATAAAAAAACTGTGCTGGGTAGTAGAGTCAGGGCAAAGGTGGCTGGGCTGTCAAGGGGATTTTGGGTGCAGGCATAAAGCTCAGTGTGTGAGGCTTGGTTTGGGACACCAGGGGGGTGGCCACTGGGTTGAGAGAAAGGGATGGATAGATGTGCAGGCAGGTGTGGGTGGGCAGTTGGGGTGCTGGACCTGCCTCCTGGCTGTGATCCTCCTGCATTCTTTTCTTCCCTTGCAGTTTCATCTATGAACTAGAGCACTTCAATGGCGTGGCCGAGCTGCTGGAGATCTTAGGAAGGTGATTGCCTTGTCTCAGCTGGAGTGTAGGATTCTGTGGGGAAGAAAGTGGGCCTCAGATGACCTGGTCATCTGAGGCCCACTCTTGTCTTCTGTTTCTTCCCAGCATCATCAATGGCTTTGCACTACCCCTGAAGACTGAGCACAAACAGTTCCTGGTTCGTGTCCTGATCCCCCTGCATTCTGTCAAGTCGCTGTCTGTCTTTCACGCCCAGGTGAGGCCCAGGCCTGGTCCTGCCACAGCAGGTGCTCTTGCCAGTCAGGGTAGCTGGTGGGCCCAGGAGGTCAGCCTGACGCTCACAGGAACCATTCTGTACTTATTCCGTTCCACCCACCTTAGAGAATTTCCACCATCCCTTGAAGGCTGACCTTGGACCTCTGTTAGCCCCTTCCCTCTCTCCCTAACCTGGATAGAATGAAACTCTTCTCCTTCTATAGTCACAAAAAGCCAGGTGTGGTGGCATATACCTGTAGTCCCAGCACTTGGAGGCTGAGACAGGAGGATTATTTCAAGTTCCTGACCAGCCTGGGCTACAAAGTGAGCTCAAGGCCAGCCTGATATGAGCTGTATAGCAAGAATATATATATATGGTATAAATTATCTACATATAATATATGTATAATTATATATATAATTTTATTTTACTCTTCTCAGACTATAGGAATCTATTAGGGATCCTTTTGCAAAATTACCAATGGTTAGTTTGTGGAATGTTCTCTGTGAAGTCATCATTGTGTCCCCCACATCCTACACATGGTAGCTTGTGCTTCCAGGGTAGCAGTCAGGGCCAGGAGACTAGGGGTCATAGGCAGTAAGTGAGCAGCCACCTGGTACTCTGTCCCCTCTTGACTCCCAGTCCTTCTCCTCTGCCTCTTGCAGCTGGCATACTGTGTAGTGCAGTTCCTGGAGAAGGATGCCACCTTGACAGAGCATGTGAGTATCTCTTGGGGGGAAGGAAGACCCCTCACTCTGCAGGCGTGACTCCTTTCTACCTTTATCACACAGGTGATCCGGGGGCTGCTCAAATATTGGCCAAAAACCTGCACCCAGAAGGAGGTAGGAGGAAAGTTTCTGATGCCCACCAGAGGAGGTGGGAAGGGCCCAACGTCCCAAAGGCAAGCAACAGTGTGTGTATGTTTCTAGGGGAGATGTGAGCTGTGGTCCCTCTCCTTCCACTGCAGGTGATGTTTCTGGGGGAGATGGAAGAGATTCTTGATGTCATCGAGCCCTCCCAGTTCGTAAAGATACAGGAGCCCCTCTTCAAGCAGGTGGCTCGCTGTGTCTCCAGCCCCCACTTCCAGGTAGGGATGGACATGGGTGAGGTGAGGTGGGCTGTACCTGGGAAGGTTAACCAGTTGACCAGACATTCTCTCTGCCCTCATCTTGTCCTCTGGGTCTGATGATAGGGAGATGCTGGGCTTAGTTAGGATCAGAACACCTGGGGTGGGACTCACAGATACCTTCATTGCTGCTGGAGGGGCCTTGGGCAAAACACTTCATCTCTCCGAATCTGATAAAGTTTCTTTAACTGTAAACTGGGCCAACAAGTTCTTCAGAGACTAGTGAGGAGAATTGAAGGGTTCAGGACTGTAAACATGTTTGGTTAATTGATCTAGAAGGGAAGGAGTGCTGTTCTCATTTTGCCCCATTTGTGAACGGCTTTTGTTATTCCCCTTTGAGGATCCAGTTAGGCTTCTGCACACATCCCAGCTAGCTGTAACACACTTTCCTGCATTTATGCCCTGACTCTGTCACACTCTTCCCCTTTCTCCTCTTTTTTTTTTATAATGATAGTTATTGAACCCGGGGTCTCACACATGCTAGGCAAGTGCTCTTAGCCTGTGCTACACCCCTTTCTCCTTTTTTTTTTTTTTTTGTGTGTGGAACTGGGGATTGAACTCAGGGCCCTGCGCTTGCCAGGCAAGTGCTTATTCCACTGAGCCATCTCCCCAGCCCTTTCTCCCATTCTTGTGCATCATATCTGCAGTGAAATCTGTTCTTCCTCATGGGAACTTTTGATATTTCACTCTCTTAAATAGCTTAATATCTAGTATCTCATTTTATTCTTAAAACATCTAGTAGAAAAAGGTATTATTAGCCCCATTTTACAGCCATCTGAGGCTGCACAGTGAAATGCTTTTTATGAGGTCACATAGGCATGTTAGTGTCTGGAGTGAAGTTAGGATTTGTGCAAATGTTGGCTTCCAAACCCAGGGCTGGCTGGCTCTCTCTCTCTTGTGGTACAGAGGATCGAACTCTGGACCTTGTGCATGCCAGGCAGGCACTTATGCCTGCTGAGAGCTGTCTCCCCAGCCTGAGGGCTCTCTTTATCACTTCATTTCCTCCAGGGGTCAGTGAGCCCTCATGATGGGGTGTGGTGATAGTGCAGGGCTAGATACCAGACCTTGCACACAGACACTCCATCTGCCACCGTCCTGCCCCAGGTTGCAGAGCGGGCTCTGTACTTCTGGAACAATGAGTATATCCTGAGCCTCATTGAGGACAACTGCCACACTGTGCTGCCTGCTGTGTTTGGGACCCTCTACCAAGTCTCCAAGGAGCACTGGAATCAGTGAGTGCCCAGGTTTTGATCTAAGCCTCAGAAATGGACCTGAAGCCCATCCAGCTGCAGAAGATCAGAGAAGGTGTCAAAGGGTGGGCTGAGGGCTGAGAGGGAAGTGAGGCAGTGGTGCTGAGGTGCTTGGGGATGTGGATGTTGTAGGGAGCAGGGACAGACAGAATGCCAGAGGGAGGTAAGGCCAAATTAACGTTTTAAAAATCACCTCAACCCCTCCCTTGACCATGCCAAGAACTATCGTCTCTCTGATCTACAATGTGCTGAAGACCTTCATGGAGATGAATGGGAAGCTGTTTGATGAGCTCACGGCCTCCTACAAGCTGGAGAAGCAGCAGTGAGTGCTGGGGAGAAGAGCAAGAGTCTGGGCCTGGGACTGAAGGGTACAGAGAATTCCCCAAGCTTTCAGTCAGGTGTCCCCAGTTCCCCCTCATGTTCATACACGTGCTGAGCCATCCTATGCCAGCTTCCCACTGCATCCTCCAGCCCTTCTTCCCAGTATTTCTCAGGGACTACCCTGCTGTGACTCTGTGGCTTCCTTCCCCACAGCCAGACCAGCTCGTGTACTGCATGAGTACAGGTTGGGAGCAGTCTCTCAGTGCTGCCCTAACAGTTGCTGTACGATATGGTTCCGAGCCTCACCCTTAGCGGCAGGGGGTGATGAGGGAGGTTGACTTGGGAGCCCTGTCTGAGGCAGCTATATCACCTTCTCTCTTCAGGGAGCAGCAGAAGGCCCGGGAGCGCCAGGAACTGTGGCAAGGATTGGAGGAGCTGCGGCTGCGCCGATTACAGGGGACCCAGGGAGCCAGGGAGGCCCCTCTCCAGCGGCTCACACCGCAGGTGGCCACCAGTGGGGGTCAGAGCTAGAGCCCCCAGAAGGGGAGAAGCTAAGCCCAGAGCTTTTAGTCCCTCCATCCCTTCTCCTGCCCAGGGGCCCAAGAGGCACACATCTGGCCCTGGCCTTGCCAGTGTGGGCCCTGAGGACTCCCTGGCCAGCCTGGCGTGGGCAGCTTGCACTGGGGAGACAAGAAGACAAGATGGTGGTCTTGGCAGCAGAACTCTCAGGCCCTTTGTGGCAAGACTTGACCAGGGCAGGCTCAACTGGGAAGCTGCCACCAGGGCTCTGGCCTGTCCATAGCACTGGGTTTTGGGGGCAGGCAGGCTCCCACCCTGCTCCTGCCCAGGGCTAGGTCTCACAGTACCTCACCTGCCCTGTCTCAGGTGGGTGCCACATCCTTCCTCATCTCCACTGTGGGATCTGGGGTCTATTTATTCTGCCCAGGTCACCCCCAACACAGACACTGTCCTGGCCCTGGGGCATTCTCCTCCCCTCTACTCCTTCGCCCTGTCTTTCCTTGTCCCCTTTTTATTTATTGGGCAGGGGGAGGGGTGAGGGCACAGGCAAGAAAAGATTCACAGTGTCCTCGGGTGCGGGGGGTCACAGTAATCACAATCTATCCTCTTCTGCTGCCTGGGGGTAGACTTAATAAAGAGAGAAACTCAAGAGTTGCTTGCTTTATTTAGGGGCAAGGACAAAAGGAGGGGAAGGGACAAGAGACTGCATAGGAGGGTCAGGCAGAGATGAGGAAGAGGCAGAAACCCCTCTTCTCAGGAGGTGGTCATTGTGAAGTAGCTCCTCATTTAAACAATCCCACAGCAAGTGGACAGCAGGACTAGAACTAGTGGCTAGAAGCGTGAGAGGCGACACATGTCACACTGGCAGGCCCTGGCTGTGAAGATCTCAAGCTCCCTGCTCCGGTTCCCCGCACACTGCAGCTGCACCTTCACCTGTGGGAGAGGGAGTCCACATTGGTCCTGCTCCTGGGCCATCCTGGAGCCTCTGTCTCCTCCAAGCAAGCACCCCTGCTGGGCTCAAGTGCCCCTTACCTTCTGCAGTCCATGGATGGTACAGCACTGAGAGATGGAGGTGATATTGTGCCGATAGCCACTGGCCACCAGCACAGAGTACCGGGAGGGGAATGCACTGGACTCACAGTGACCCACACAGGCCTGTGCTGCATGGGAACCATGGCAGGTTCCTTGGCGGTCACTTCGTACTGTCACATTAAAGGCTGCAAGGAAACAGGCAAGCAAAGATGCTCCTCTGCAAAGGCTGCCTCCATGTGGATGCGATTGGTCTCAGTCTGTTAACTGTCCCCTCCCATTGCTCCTGACCCCCTGTCCCTGAAGTACTCACGATGCAAGTGACAGCCTGGGACAGCTACCTCCCGACTCCCACCTTCAGAGACTGCCAGGACCAGCAAGCAGAGGAACCTGGCTCCAGGGGGTGCCATTGGCATCTGAAAAGGTGGGTGGTAAGGGAGCTGGGCAAGTTCTGGGGGCCTGCAGTAAGTAAACAAGCCCCATCCGGAGGGGCTGTTTCCTGACTGCCTTGGATTGAGGTCACTGGCTGGGACCTATATGTCAGCCCTCTGTTCTGTGATTCTCCCCTGGAACTTCCTAAACTATCTGGACTGCAGATATTGTCCTCCCTCCACCCTTTGGCATCTGCAGGGTCCTCACCCACACCCCCATGCCCTCCGTGCTTCTGGCCTCCAGCCCCAGGGAACTCACCGATCAGCCAGCAACCACCAGCAACTCGAATGGCTGGCAGGACCCCAGTGCCTCCTGCTGGCTCCACACTGCAGGCCACAGCTCTCCAGGGTTTTATTAGTGGGTATTTTGGAGCCACGCCCTCTCAGAGATTGGTTTTCTGAGGAGGCTGCCTCCCAGTTTGAGGATTCAGAGCAGTTCTACCTGGGAGATCCTATTCTGACACATGGTCTTCAGGGAGGACTCTGCTGCTTTCTGCTACCCTCTGTCTAAAAAGCTGCCAACAGTCCCTGGCTAGGAAAGCAAGATGTAGTGAAATGTCCAGGGGCTGGTGGAATATGTGGCACATGCTGCTGTGGAAGAGGGGTCAAGTCTCTTGGCCACCTGGTTCTTCTTTGCTGTATGACATTGGGCAAAACCTTGGGCATGGTACTCCCTGTTCAGGCCCTTGCCACCCCCCAGGCTTAGAATTACTAAATTTAACCTGGCTGTCTCATACTGACTATAGACCAAAGAGATTGAGAATCCCTTTCCAGATCTTTCTGGACGGGAAATCACAGGTGAGTGGTACAAAGCCACGAGGCCTAGGGAAATGAGTTATGTCAGAGCCTCCAGACCAGCATTAAGTGGATGTCTTTTTTTTTTTTTTTTTTTTTTTGAGGAACTGGGGATTGAACTCAGGCCCTTGTGCTTGCCAGGGAAGCGCTTAGTCCACTGAGTCATCTCCCCGGCCCCAAAGGGATGTCTTTTTATGTCCTGGTCAATGACATAGAATGGGGCTGTAAGCGACAGGGTCCTTCTAGCCCCTGGAATAACAAGAGACTCGTTTCTAAAACAGCCTAAAGGCTGGGGAGATGACTCAGTAGAATAAGTGCTTGCCTGGCAAGCACAAGGGCCTGAGTTCAATCCCCGATTCTGCAAAATAATAATAGTAATAATAAAATAAAAATAAAAGAGCTTAAAACTGTCAACCTCAGAAAGGATGGTTGTTTGGGGAAGCTCTAGTTTTATAGGTGAGGCTACTGAGGCTCAGAGAAGGAAGATTACTAAAAGTCACACAGGGCTGAGAGTGGTGGTGCACCCCAATAATCCCAGCCTCAGAGGGCTGAGGCAGGTAGATCGCCACTGCTTCAAGGCCAACCTAGGCTACATAGTGAGTTTAAAGGTCATCCTGGAATAGCTGGGGAGACCAGTCTCAATAAAAGTTACACAGCTAGTCAATGTTTGGGCTGGTGTAGCACTCAAATCTGCAGTGCAGTCATGGTCACAGAAATGTAGCAAGGTGGGAGGAAACCATAGTTGGCAGTAGCTAGAGGTTTGGGCAGAGTAGATGTCATAAGGAAGCCTGGGTTTGTTCTGGGCAGTCCCACTCAGGACTGTTGCCTCATGACCTCCCTGCACCAGAGCTAGCTGGTTCCCTATAGATAGTGAAGCACACCAAATTCTACCCCCTCCTTTTCGAGCTCAGAAAATCACTAGAGAGAAAAGAAACTTCCCAAGGCTTCACTGTAGCACTCAGATCTTCAAATCCTGCAGCTGTGCCTTTCAGCAACTTTGGCTAACAGATCATGCTTGGGGTAGCAGCCTTGGGCAGTGAACAGAATTTGAGAGGACTTGTTCCCAGTGTTGTTAATCTCAAACCAAAACCAGGACTTCCCCGCTGGTGCTTCCTCGGCTCAGGTCCTGGTCCTCCCTTGCCAATCCCTCCTACTATCTACCTCCTTTCTTTTTCTTGTCAAAGCAGAGGTGGCCCAGCAAGGAGATTCAGAGAGACCTCAGTAGTCCAACTCCCAGCTTCTCCTCCTTACATCCCCTCTGGTAGGGGACACGTGATGGGGTATATAAACCATTGGAAAGGGTTCATCACCTCACAGGCTAGCCCATTCTAATACTGTATGTCTCTAATGGTTAAAAGTGGGTTGGGGAGATAGTTCAGGAGAATCAGGGCTTGCCTGGCAAGCGCAAGGAACTGAGTTTAATCCCCAGTACTGGAAAAACAAAAAACAAAAAACAAAAAAAACCCTCTAATGGTTAAAAGTAATTCCTTTGGGGGCTGGAGAGATGGCTCAGTGGTCTAAAGCACCTACTT